CCCTCCTGACACAGCCGTGTCCCCCACAGCCCGGTGACGCCACCCAGCTCAGCCTCCACGGTGCCTTCTTTGGCCCTGAGCAGCCGCCGCTGGCCCCCGAGCCCCTCACCGCTGTGCCTGGCTGCCTCAGCCCCCAGCTCAAACCTAAGCCCTTGCTGCAGTATGGTTTCCCCAGCAAGTGCCTCGGCACGGAGCCACTCGGCCTCCCCAGCCAGGCCCCTGGCGCACCATTACTGGGCTCACAGCCGCCGTTTTCCCCTGCCTCCGCACCCCACTCCAAGTTCCCCTTCACCACCTCGCCCAGCCCCTCGCTCCTCGCCCACCCTGCATCCCCGCTGTCCGCGCCGTGCTTTGCCCAGCACACCCCGGGCCTGGGCTACGCCATGGACGTGGTGCCCCTAGGGTACCCCAGCCCAGCCGCGCCCCAGCACCTGCCCCCCGCCGCGCCACCTGGGCCCAGGTTTGCTACCCCAAAAGGGCCGACCCCAGGCGAGCGGCCGAAGATGAAGGCCGGCAGCACCAAGGCAAAGAGGCCGGGTCCCCCTGTGACTACAGAGCTGACAGTGTCCAATGCCTGCCTGACTCAGCTGCTGGCCACAGGTGAGAGGCAGCTGGGGAATCGAGGGTGGCAGTGATGGGGTGATCTGGAGGTAAGCAGGGGTGCTCGGGGGTGCTGGGAGATGTGGGCTGCTTCCTGCAGCTGTCACAGCCTTCCCCGGGGCAGATGGACAGATGGGCTGGTGCTCAGGGCTGGCACCGCCATGGAGCAGGAAAATGTCACCAAAGCACTGACAGCCTGATGCAGAAGTGCTCTTCTGCTCTCTGACTTCCCGCAGCCAAGCAGGAGCCAGCCTTCGATGCCCCACAAGTGCACGGCCCCGCACTCACGTCTGCGTCCCCAGCCTCTCCGGTAAGCACCCACCTATCTCCAGGTTGGGGACTGCTCCTTTTGGCTGGGAATTGCTGTCCTGTTGCTGAGGAATGAGAGTGGAGAGAAAGCAGCACTGTGTGAAGCTCTTTGCAGAACAGAGTTTGATGCACATGGAGCTTGTGGCCAGGGTGCTGGGGGGCTCAGAGTGAGGCCGGGTGGGAGTCAGCCCCAGTTAGAGAACTGGCAGAGCAGGGACAGACTTCACCTTAGGGCCCTGTGGGGCTCTTTCCCCAGTCCCACTGTGGGTTTTGAGTAACCAAAGGGGCTCTGTAAACCTGCCACACATGGAGTGCTGAACCCAATCTCCTTCCTGCTTTCCTGTCTTCTCTCTGCAGCAGAGCGGAGTCCCCGATGTTCCTGCTGTCTTCCTGCCCAGAATGGCCCAGCTGAGCTCAGTGCTGTCTCCTGGCTCCAGCCCTTCGCAGGAGGTGCCTGTGATGCAGGCAGGTGCTGCACCAGGGCCGCTGCGGGTCCCCAAGGTAGAGCGGCTCTCCCCAACACCGGTGTGTGGTGAGTCTGGGTGCCCGCAGGATGCCCCATATCCTGCAGGGAGCTTGAACCAAACACAGTTGTTGGTTTTTTTCCTGAGAAAGCTCAATTTATTTTCTATTCCTACTGCTTTTAATTAACCATCTGAATGACAGTGATTTCATTCTGCTGGGGAGGGTGCCGACCTTTCGTCTGGCTCCTTCTCTGGGGGGCAAAACCATAAACAGGAAAAGACAAAACGTAGCAAGTGTCAGAATGTGGTTTTGAAAACCAGTGGTTGGTTTTAAGGCCGGAAGCACCCTGCTTTCACCCACAGAAACCAGACTGGGGCAGGAAGCTCCCTGCTCATTTCCACTTCCAGTTGAGTGCTGTAAACCACAGCCCTCAGGACTCTCTCCAGGTGGTTTCCACTCTGCTGGAAATTTAAAATTCATTTCACAAACGCTTCCATTTGTTGTAAAAATGAAAGTGATTTGGGATGAGATGGGGCAACAAGACGTGGTCAGACACGGGGCCATCAGCTGAGGGGTTGACTGCCCCAGAGCCAGGGCAGTACTGCAGTGCTCGCACTCTCCTCAGCGCATCCCCTCTCATCCCCCAGGCAGTGACTGGCCCAAGCCTGGCCAGGTGTCCCCAGGAGCTGCTCCACCACCTGGTACCACCACCTCCCTGCACCACCCACCATCCCGTCGGGGCAGGCCCGACTCCAGCAAGGTATGGTGGGAGCGAGTGTTGCCTTTTACAGGGGCAGCTTCTCCTTGTGCACCCCCTTCCCGCTGACCCCACATTCATCCCCACCCTTGATGCATGCTTGGGGCCAGCCTGTCTCCAATGCAGGGAGAGGCCCAAGGCCATCTCTGCTGCCTGCAGATGGAGAGCCGGCGCATCACACACATCTCTGCTGAGCAGAAGAGACGTTTCAACATCAAGCTGGGCTTTGACACACTGCACAGCCTGGTGAGCACGCTGAGTGCCCAGCCCAGCATTAAGGTGAGCACACAGCGCTGCACGGGCTGGCGCTGGGCATGCAGGGACGCGGGACATCGCTCAGTGATGACATGGCCGTGGCTGCGCTGGCGTGCACGCATTGTACCTAGGGCCTGCTGCCCGGTGCCAAGGCTCAGCAAAGGAGCATGTGGCCCCTTGTACCCTGCCTGCCCCAGGAGCTCCCTGCGCCATCCCACCTCTGCCACCCTGCAGGTCAGCAAGGCCACCACCTTGCAGAAGACTGCTGAGTACATCTGCAAACTGCAGCAGGAGCGGGCGGCCCTCCAGGATGAGGCGCAGCGGCTGCGGGAGCAGATTGAGGAGCTCAACAGCTCAATCAAGTAGGGGGGCATGACTTGGGGGGGCAGCAGGGAGCTGCTGCCTGCGTCAGCACAGCCAGGCAGGGCAGATGGCAGTGCCAGGGGCAGCAGGCTGCAGCATCTCTTCTGAGCACTGCCTAGATCCTGCGTTTATCTGTGTTCCCTGTCGTGGGGCAATGCTCAAAAAGCGGTGCTGTGTGTGATGTGCCGCCCTGAGAACAAGATGCTGTCTGCTTGAGACGTGCAAAGCTACTGAGCCCTGCTGCACACTGGGGTCCTCTTCCCACGTGGGGCAGCTGTCATGTGCCCCACAGCCTTGTACCTGCGGCCCCACAACACTGTTTGTGCCCCACAGCCTGTGCCAGGAGCAGCTGCCAGCCACTGGGGTGCCCATCACGCGCCAGCGCTTCGACCAGATGCGCAGCATGTTTGACAGCTATGTGCGCTCCTCCACACTGCACAACTGGAAGTTCTGGATCGTATCCTTTGGGACAACATGGGCTTCTCACTGCCCCTTCCACTGTACACCAGGTCCACTCTCCCCTCCAGCTCCATGTGGGATCCCTCCTGCTTGAGAGGCTCTGTGGGCAACATATGGAGGAGACATGCTCAGATACTTAGAAGAAACTCCTGTTACAAGAGAGCAACCAGAGTAGGAATAAATAGCCACTCCTTGGGGAGCAGGGGAGTCACCAGAGATCTGAGCTTGGGATTGCCACGCAGGCATTTGCTCCCCAGAACTTGTGTTGAGATGCAGCAGCCATCTGTTAGAGACTGGGAAAGGATCAGACACAAACCCAGGAAAATAATGGTTTCATCTGGGTGGCCACCATGGCTTACCCTGGAGAATGGGGATTAAGTTGGATACAAATCTTTGCATGTTGGAAGGATGGAGGGGAAAAGGAATGGTTGCCAAGGAGGTCAGAAGGCCGGGCCATCTTCTCCATGAAGGGGGATTACACACATTGTAGCCAAGTCTGAAAAGACCATGAGGTCTGGCGGTAGAGGCGCACGCAGAACATGCACAGACAGTAGCAAGAAGCCCCTGACACAGGTTTTGGGAGATAGGGTTCCTTCCACAGTACAGTGAGGGTACTGAAGAGGATTCCAGGATATGGGTATGGTGGAGGCACCTGCTGGGGATTATTGCACATACAGTCACCACCCCCCAGCATTGGGTGCACCCAAGGGAGCACACGTGCTGGGTGCTGCACCCTGCTCTCAGGCACCTGCAGAGGGCATGGCAGGAGCTGGCTCTAGGCCTTGTTTAGAAGAGCTGTCCTGCATTGGGGCAGCCCTGGCTGCAACATGGGCTGTGCCTTTCAGCCTCTGGTTCCCCACACACTGTGGTTCCTTGCCTGCGAGCAACAGGTGGGGCTTTGAGGGCCCCTTCCTGGCTGCTGCCACCCTGGAGGCCACCGAGTTGCACAGGGCACCCAGCACAGCTGCATTGCAGGCAGGAGAGGGCTGTTCACACCAGACAGGGCACCACAGCCATCACGATGCTTATCTTTAACCACTTCAACAGTTCAGTGTCATCATCCGGCCCCTCTTTGAGTCCTTCAACGGCATGGTGTCCACGACCAGCATGGAGAGCCTCACGCAGACGTCCCTGGCCTGGCTAGAGCAGCACTGCTCCCTTCCGGCGCTTCGGCCCTGTACGTGGCTCCGTGCGGCCCCGCCGCTCCCGATGGAAGCCGGAGGCCCCGGCATAGGCACCGCTCGGTCCCTCGGCGCTGCTGCCACCGCTGCTGCTCATTTATGAGCTCGGTGCCCTCATAAATGACTGCGGCGAGACCGAGGGCTGCCACCCGCCCCTGGCCGGGTCCTGACGTCCCCGCGTCTCCCCGCAGCCATCCTGAGTTCCCTGCGGCAGCTGAGCATCTCCACCTCCATCCTCAGCGATCCCGCCCGAGTTCCCGAGCAGGCGGCGCGGGCCGCGGCCAGAGGCGGCCCCTCCTAGCGCCGTGGGACCGGGCCGGGCAGCGCCGACGAGAGACAACGGAACAATTCGGGAGAGAGAGGGAGGGAGGGAGGGAGGAAGGGAGGGAAGTGCCACCGCAACACCACGCAGCGCTCGCGGAACCCAGCCGCGTCCGCACCATAAAGCCCTCGGAAGTCCGCAGCGCACCGCTCCTCCTTCCGGCCGCGTGGGGCCAGCGGGGCGGGGCCAACAGGGGTGTGGGCGGGGCCAGGTGGGAGGGGCGCGATATGGAGGGGCGGAGCCGCGGCTCGGCGCACGCGCGCTGGGTGTCGCCGCCCGGTGGCGCTGAGGTGGCGGCGGGAAGATGGAGGCGGTGGCGCTGGGCGCGGGGCTGGGGCTGCTCCTCGCGCTGCTGCTGCTGGCGGCCGCCCTGCGCCGCGCCGCCCCGCGGGGATCGCCCGCCGCCCCGACGCGGGATGAGGGTGAGTACGAGTACGAGTACCGCTCCCTTTCCCCCTCCGTCCCGTGCCCTCCCGCTGAGCCCCGCTCCCCGCAGGCGCCGGGGCGAACGGCCCCTCCGCCGCCAGGCTCGAGGGCCCCCGGAGGACGAAGCCGCCGGTTCGGGCGCGCAAGGAGAAGCCGGGACAGCACAGCTTCACGCACCGCCTGCTGGCCGCCGCCCTCAAGGTACCGCGCCGCCCCGCCGGAGCCCCCCGCCCCCGCCCCGCCGCCCCTGACCGCCGTTCCCCCGCAGGGCCACAGCGGTTCCGTGAGCTGCCTGCACTTCAGCGGCGGCGGCAAGTACCTGGCGTCCTGCGCCGACGATCGCACCGTGCGGCTCTGGAGCACCCGCGACTTCACGGCGCGCGAGCACCGCTGCCTGCGGGCCAACGTGGAGCTGGACCACGCCGAGCTCGTCCGCTTCAGCCCCGACTGCAGGTGGGGCCGGGAACCCCGCCCGCCCCTCGCGGAAGTCCCGTGGGGGATCGGCAGCGCCGCCGATGCGGGACCCACCACGTTAACGCGGTGCTCGCCGCCCCGGTGCGAGGGCTGTGCGCGGGGAGCTGCGAGGGCCGCGGGCTGGGAAGGCTGCGTGGAAAGCTTTCCTTGGCGCTGGTGAAGCAGCTCTGCAGAGTGGAAGGGATGTCGCTTTCAGGTGTTCCTTTCCATTCGGTGCCGCAATTGAGCTGACGCAGGGAAAGCTCGGTGTCCTCATAAAACACAACTGATCTGTCACCTTTCCTCCAGGTGCCCCGAATGACTGATAACTCACCTGCCGTAGCTAGGCTGACAGTGGCAACCTGCTGCTTAATGGCTCAGTTACCGTCCTTCCACTTAGGGCGATCATTGTCTGGCTGGCAAATGGAGAGACAATTCGTGTCTATAAAATGACAAAGAAGGACGACGGCAACTTCACCTTCACTGCTTCTTCTGAGGACTTCCCAAAGAAGCACAAAGCTCCTGTCATTAACATAGGAGTTGCAGAAACAGGTATGGCAATGGTGAGCTGCTCACCTGCCGCGGCCCTCCGGATCCACCTTGGTTTCCTTTTTGAGCAACAGCTGCTGGGTTGAAAATGTTAAAGAGTTCTTGATTTACTCAAGGGCTGCTTGATTCTCTGTTTTTCTGGTTCTTATGTTTTAGCCTTTGCTTGCTACTAAGTGAGTTGGAAGACATAATTGGAGGAGAGAAATTTCTGTGTAAGCTCAGAATTACCTGATTTGTACAGGTATTATTTTAGGCTTTTGGGAACGCTGCTGAAAAGAGATCTGGTCTCAGTACTGAGAGCATTGCTATTCTCTGGCTTGGCAGTCTTGCTTTAGCCAGTGAGAAGTGTCTCCAGTGAGTTCCGGAATTCAGGAGCATAGGATGTACCTTGGACTTCTGGTGTCTCCTAGAACAGAACCTGAGGAGGGCGAATGTTGATGGCAGAGGGCTTGGTGGATTCATGCTTCAGCTGTGCGACAGTGAACAGTTGGCAGTGGGTGGACGCATGTTCCACTCTGTAAGAAAAGCCCATAAAATTTTAAATGAGATCTTTGGCTGCAAGAGTGAAAATTGAAACCCTGTAACAAGTAGCTTGGAGGTAAATTTGCAACTCAGTGTCCATGCTGAGACAAACAAGGGGAAGCACTGCAAGTGGAAACCTGCAAATACCCAAAATGCTGACACCACCAGTAATCAGGAACAAAAGTAGTGTGACTTCTAATCAGCTACGAGTCTACGATCCCTGACTTGAAAGCTTGAGATACCTCTTCTGGTTAAAATACAACTTGATCAAGTCTGCTACATTACCTGAGCATAGTACTGAGCTCGGCAAGTGGGATCTGAAAGATACTGGGTGGGAAGCTCAGGGGGTCTCTGGGTTGGCAGCTGTGAGCTGCTGAGTCCTGACTGAACACTAATGCATACCCAGGAGGTGAGCCTGCTGCCACGGCTTTTCACTCTGTGCCAGGACAGAAGCACTGATGTTTTGGTGCTGCTTTTTGTTTTCTTGACAGCTCTGATGCAGACAGGTTGCTCTGCTCAGGACTGTTACAGCTGTTGGTGACTGTGGAAGCTTTAGGCCTAGGAACTCTCCTGATCTCTACCTTTTTTCCCTCCCTGCTCTCCAGGAAAGTTTATCATGACAGCTTCCAGTGACACCACCATCCTGATCTGGAACCCGAAGGGTGAAGTCCTTGCCAGCATTAACACTAACCAGATGAACAATGCCTATGCTGCTGTGTCACCCTGTGGGAGGTGAGGAACATGCAGGTATTCCAGGCTGCTCCTGCTGAGTGGGAAGCCATGGCAATAACCAGGAACCACTCTCCTTCTCAGAGGACATCATCAGTTCAGAACATCTGCAGTTTGCTGTCACTGTAATGCAATTTTCTGAGGGTTCCACGTTTTTCTAATGATTCCTGCTCCCAGGAGGAGTCTCTCTGGGAGTGCTGACTCCCACCCGTGGTCTCAGACATTTGGTGCTTTGTTGGAGTGTCTCAGTACTGCTGCTCCTGCTGACCACCTTCTGAAGCACTGAGGAGAGCAAAGAACATTGGCAGTGATGGCAGAGCTGGGCCAGTGCAAACTGTTTGTGCAAAGCAAGTAATGTTCCTAGCAGTTGTTTTTAAATTTCTAAATATTAATAACAAAATTGGAATTTTTACAACCAAGAGGTTACTTATCAGGAAAACCTTGTTCTTGGCTCTGTCTCTAACCTGTTGCTGTAGCAGGACAGTTGTTATGCACCAGTTGCAGTGACTCTGTGGGTCAGAGAACTTAAGTTTCTTTATTTTTACTAAGGAGTTTCTCTTAAGGCTGTTAAGTTGTAGAGTTGCCTTGTCCCCTGGTGGCCTTCCATAGTGTTCCCTTTACCAGCCTGGTTTCAGTGAAAATTGGAAAACTCTTTTCCAGCAGACCAAAGCAAAGATTTGAATGTAGGTGTCTGGTTAGGACTGATTCACAGAGCACTTTCTCTGCAGCCCTCGAGAGGCAGGAGGAAGAGCTCTGCAGTGCTGTGGCTGAGAGCCGACCCTATGACCCAGCCACAGCAGTGCTCTGTAAGAGCCTGGCTCTGTTTTTTGTTTTATTCAGGTTTGTAGCATCATGTGGCTTTACTCCTGATGTAAAGGTTTGGGAAGTGTGTTTTGGCAAGAGCGGAGACTTCCGGGAAGTGACCAGGGCTTTTGAGCTGAAAGGCCACACTGCTGGTGTATATTCCTTCTCCTTCTCTAATGACTCGAGGCGGTAAGCGTGCTATATCACTGTGTGAAGGAGTACCCTAAGGACACGTGTGCTCACCCCCTTCCTGTGTGCCTGAATTGCCCATCCATACTCAAACCTGTGCCCACTCCTGCCCCGGGGGCCTCCCTGGGTGTGCAGGGACTGCCTTGGTCCATCCTCATCCTCCCCGTGGGTTTCCTCCTGTTGTTTGACCATCCTCTGCTCAGGGAGGGGGACGATGACCCCATGTGTACACACGTTTCCAGGCTCATGTTTTGCAAATCTCTGTCCACAAAGCAAAGGATTCCTGCTTTGCAGAAGTGAAAAGCGAACAAGTGTGACCCAACTTCCTCGCAGTCACCTACGGTTTATGTCCCGCCTTTAGGATGGCAACTGTTTCCAAGGACGGGACGTGGAAATTCTGGGACACAGACGTGGAATACAAGAAGCAGCAGGACCCGTACCTGCTGCTGACCGGGAGGTGCGAGGTGTCAGAGCCGTGCCGCATCGCGCTGTCCCCCGACGCTCGCGTGGTGGCCATCTCCTGCGGCACGACCATCGCCGTGTACAACACGCGCCGAGGGGAGGAGGAGGAGCGCTTTGTCGGCGTTCACGGACAGCACATAGCAGACTTGGCTTTTGACACCACCGGCCGCTTCCTGGCGTCGTGCGGCGACCGGGCCATCCGCGTGTTCCACAACACCCCCGGCTTCCGCGCCGTGGTGGAGGAGATGGAGACCATGCTGAGGAAAACCACCACCAAAGCCACCCGGGAGCGGCTGGAGCAGCAGATCGCCGGTGCCAGGAAAGCGCTGGCTGCCATCTGCGGCAGGAAGCAATAGCGGCTCCGGGCGGGAGCGGCGCGCTGGGTTTGACCGATAAAACAGCGAACAGATTGCAATAAAAGAGCGCTCGCGGCTTTCCCTGCCTGCTTTCTGCCCCTGGCAGCACGGAGGGCGCACGCTCCTTTGGCGGAGGGAGGGGCGGGGCGGGAGGAGCCGGCACGGGACCGCTGAACGGGCCGAGGCTGCGAGGAGCGGCTCCGGCCCACGGCTGCCGGGCGCGGGGCGGCGCGGAGCGGCGGCAGAACCCTGCGGCAGCGCCAAGCCCCGCCCCGCACAAGATGGCGGACGCTGGCCCCACCTTCGCGCCTCCTCCTCGCGCGCTTCGGGCGGGGCGTGCCGCGCAAGCGCAGTGCGCTCTCCGCGCGGCGGGCGCCCCTCCCCCGCCTCCCTCCCCCCGGGCGTGGCGTGCCGTGCGCCGTGACGCTGCGCGCAGCGCGTGGGCGGGGCGCGCGCATGCGCAGGGGACGGCGGCGGGTGCTGCGGAGCCGGGGCTGCCGGGGCTGCGGGCGCCATGTCGGGCCGCTCGGTGCGCGCCGAGACCCGCAGCCGCGCCAAGGATGACATCAAAAAAGTGATGGCGGCCATCGAGCGCGTCCGCAGATGGTGAGAGGCGGGGCACGGGGGGGTGGGGCCTGTCGGCCCGCAGCCAATCACCTCACCACCCGTCTGCCGGTGGAAGCGCTCCGGGAGCGGGCGCCCAATCAGAGCGCTGCATGCGGCGGCGGGCGGTGCTAGGGGGGCGGCGGCCAATCGGCTAGCGAGTGTGGGAGGGAAGCGGAAGGGCGGGTGACGGACAGGCCGGTGGACCAATCACAAGGAGGGGCGGTGGCCGAGCGGCGGGGCGGGGCCGCGGTTTGGATGGGCGCTTCCCTGGGCCTATCAGAGCCGCCTGTGCTGCGGGCGGGGGCTGTCAGGTGTGGGCGGGGTCTGCCGCCGCGGTGCCGGGCGCGCTCTGATGCCGTGCCTGCAGGGAGAAGAAGTGGGTGACGGTGGGCGACACTTCGCTGCGGATCTTCAAGTGGGTGCCGGTGGCCGACAGCAAGGAGGTGGGTGCCGTGCTGACCTCACCCTGCTGCGCTCCGCGGCTGCTGCCGGAGAGCTGTGTCCCACCCGTCCCTAACGTCGCCTTTCTGCTTTCCTTCCTTTCCTCAAGAAAGAGAAATCCAAATCGAGTGGCGGCGTTGCACGGGAGCCCAATGGTTTCCCCGCTGACTCGGCTGCCAACTCCTCGCTGCTCCTCGAGTTCCAAGGTGAGTGCAGCCCGCGGCAGTGCGGTGTGCAGGGACACGAGGTGCGCCCCTCTGATTTGCTCTGATTTGCTCAGACTGCCTCTGTGAGCCCACAGGCGGTGTGTGGCAGAGCTGAGCAGCACGCAGGCCGGTTGAGCTTGAGCTGAACATGGATATATACCTGTCCCAAGTCTCCCCGCTCAGCCTTCAGTGTGTCTGAGGAGCATCAGGCTATGCGTTAGCACTTCCAGTACATGCAGGGCATAGGCCAGTCTTGCAGATCTGCAGTTTGGCCCCCACTTTACCAGGAAAACCAGAGCTGCCTTCTCTTCTGGGACAGAAGTTGAGTGTTGCTGTGGCGTTAGATTGCTGCCTTGCACACAGAAGAGGCACAGAGCTCTGGTACCAAAGTAAGAGGCCTCATCCTTTTGAATGTCTGTGCAGTAGGGAGAGTCCACGGTGGCCTTGCACAAGCTGCAGGTGTGAGATCTGACAGAGCAGAGCTTTGTGTTGCCCTTGCACACTGCGTTTATTTTTCTGAATTGCTCAGGGTCACTTCTCCTCTGCTCAGCCTCTGCATATCCCCAGGTAGAATCATGCACTGTCCTGTGCGTCAGCTGTATCCTAATGGGGAGTGCTGCGTTAGGAAGCTCTTGCTGCTGATCAGTGACTTTGTGAATCCTCTGTACCTTAAACACTGTGCTCTTCCTTTTCCATGAGATCCTGGCTCTCAGTGCTGCCCTTGGCTGCTTGTGCTGCTGGGTCAAGGTACTCTTCTTCACTAGGTGCTGTTTCTGCAGATGAGAACAGCAACCAGAGCTCCCTGTCAGACGTCTACCAGCTCAAGGTGGACAGCAGCCCCAACTCCAGCCCCAGTCCCCAGCAGAGTGAGTCCATGAGTCCTGCCCACACATCTGACTTCCGTACGGATGATTCACAGCCACCCACACTGGGGCAGGAGACTCTGGAAGGTGAGCTCCATGACATCTGGGCATGGCTGCTTATCTGGAGAGAGGGAGGCGTCCAGCTGGACCAGGGAGCCCAGAGAGGGTGCTGCTGGGTCTAGGACAGAGCTGCCTCCTTTGTGCGGCTTGTGGGGCAGGAAGGCTGAGGCACTTCTGCCTGAGGGCTCAGCAGGCTGCACCTGAATCTGCCATATGTTAACTTTCTCTTCCTTCCAGAGCCCTCTCTGCCTTCCTCGGAAGTTGCTGATGAGCCTCCCACTCTTACAAAAGAAGAGCCGGTCCCCCTTGAGACTCAGGTAAGGAAGGGAGAATAGAAACCGTGTCTAAATGCATGTTCACCCATCTTAGTCCTTTCCCCTGGGCACCTTTCTTTGATTTCTCATTATAGCAGAAACATCAAAAAGTCTGAAACTGCCCCCAGGAGCTCCCCAGACCTCCTGGCAAGTTGTGTTGTGGTTCAGTTCAGGTTTTAGGGCATACATTGTGTGCAGAAACTATGTGGAGGTGGATTAAAAAATTGGTTATAGTTGGCTCCAGGGCTGGAGTGGATTCTCTCTCTTGATGCCCAGGGGCTCATTTAGCAGCCTGACTCACAGAGGAGAGCCCAGGCTGTCTCCACAGGGTGACACACAGCCTCGTCCAGCAGCTCCACGTGGCCTTGTAGGCGTGCTGAGCTCCTGTCACGGCTGGTGACCTCTGGCTCTTGCAGGTAACTGAAGAGGAGGAGGACTCTGGCGCACCGCCTCTGAAGAGATTTTGTGCCGATCAGAACTCTGTGTGCCACACAGCCTCGGAGAGCTAGCCTGCCCATCCCCGGGGAGAGCCTTCGCCAGACCCTCGCAGAGCTGCCTGCCCTTCCCTGGGGAATGGGGTGCTTCCCTGGCCTGCCCTTCCCAAGGGACAGGGCGCTCCTGCTGCCTCGCCATCCAGCCTGCCCTGCCCTCGGGAGCAGGAGCCTCCCACCAGCCCCTACAGAGGCAGCCTGCAAGTGATTTGCCCAGCTGAATGGGGCTGCCACCAGTACCTGCAAATTTGCCTCTATTTATTGGCTCCCACTCTCCCTGCTGATCTGTGCTGTAGTGGCGTGGGGTCTCTGGTGCGTGGTCTGCATGCGCAGGGGGAGGGATCCTTGGGATGCCCCGCTCTCCATCACCCCTAACGCGCTGGCAGATGCTGTTTGCCTGCTTCTGGATCCACTGTCCACCCTGTCCCGCGTGCTGGGAACAGAAGAGCCATGTCCCATCTGCAGAAAGTGATGTGTCTTCTCCCTTGTGACCGTAGTCTGGGGCGTTCCTGCTGTAGGTGCGATGGGCAGAGGAGGGAGGGGGGAGCGCCCTGAGAATGAAGGCAGTGGCCCTCCGTGCCGCTGGGACACCGTGCAATAAGCTGCTACTAAGCCATTGGAAGAGAGAGGAGCGCTGCCATTTTGGAGGGCAGGTACTGAACACATCGGCCATGCCTGCCGCTTCTCTGCCTCCAGGCCCTCACAGAAGCTTCTGCCCTCGCAGGACAAGCAGGGGCTGGAGTGATGTGGGGCTGGGAGGGAGCGGGGCTGCCGGCACTGCCGTGTCCCAGCTGGTCCTGCACCCTGCTCCTCTCCTGCCCACCGTGCTCCCCAGGTACGCCCTGTCCCCTCTGGACAGGACACAGGAGGGTGCAGGAACCCCTGGAGAGCCCTCCCGTGCCCCATTCCCTGCTCCCCGCACCGGCACCCCGCTGGGCCCCCCCGCTGCCACTGCATGTCCCGCCATCTGTGATCGAGCCTGGCGAAGCTGAAGGCGCGGCCGCGCGTGGAAGTGGAAAGATATTTTAGCACTGAATAGAATATTTTTAAAATTAAACTATTTGAAATACAGTGCTCAGTGACTGCAGGGTGCGCGGGCAACAGGTGCTGCTGGGGCAGGGGCTCGGGAGCAGATGGTGGGCAGCGCCAGGCTGAGCCAAGGAGAAGTGCCCTGCTCCCAGCCTGAGCTCAGTGCCAGCACTGCGGGCTGCTCCCGGCCGGGCCTGATGCTCCCCAGCGTGGTGTGGGCTGGGGCCTTGGGGCTTTGCCTTGCGCGGGGCTGGTGCTGTTACCCTGCTGGCGTGGTTGGGCTGGGAGTGGAGGCTGCAGGGCCTCACCGTGGGCAGCTGGGCTCCTCCAGGCTGCATCCCTGCGAGCTGCCCTTAAATCCAGTGGTGTCACACACAGCCATAGTCCTGTAGCAAAATGTGCGGTGCTTGTGCTAAACGTGATGAGACAGAAATCTGACGTTATTCCATAGCTACAGCTGTGCCTGAGCATTCTGAGAAGCCAGGAGAGGCTGCTGCTCTGTCAGGTCACCCAGCGCAGCTCTGCATGCAGCCGAGATGTCGGAGCACAGCTGTGTGATGGCAGATGCACACGGAGCCGTCCAGACCCAAAGAGCTGCGCAGGGGGAGCCGCCCTGAGCACCCCTGCCTGTCTGCACACCCCAGGCCCTGGGTTTCCCACCTCAGCCTTACCTTATGCGAGAGGGTCCATTCAATTAGGTTAATTAACACAACATGTCCACAGGTATCTTTGCGGTAGTCTTTGGTTTGTCTTTGTGCATTGCAAAGAATGATTCTTATTTTCCAGTTTATTAAATTGAATGTATAAATCTAAGCCCAAGGTGTGCAGCTCCCTCTGTGTGACCATCACGTGGGGTTCATCACTTCTCCTTTCAGGCTCAGTATGGACAGATGGGGCAGCAGCTGTGGGTTAGAGAACAGCCATCTCAGAGTTATGGATAATGGGAAAATATCTGGGGGAGGGGAATGCAGAAGGGGTGCTGCTAGTTGAGGGAGGGGAGATAGAGGTTGGATGTCAGGGGGAAGTTCTTTACAGAGAGAGTGGTGAGGAGCATCTGCCCAGAGAGGC